GAGAAAATGACAAACCTTGCAGAGCGCTTCATAACAAAGCACTTCTGTAGGTTTCCTGAAAATAAAATAAAAAAATGAACTAACCATACCATAATGCTTAATTATATGAAAGTGTTTATAATTCCTCCAAATGTAAGTGTTTCAAAATTAAACTCGTGTATTACATATGACATATATAATTAATGATGTGTTGCTTTCTCTTCTAACATTTTGCGGGAGCAAGGTCTTTGCATTTTATCATCAATGAAATAAAAGATGTAATTAAGAAGTGGTTAGAATATATAATTAGTTATATGTGATAAGTAACCTTTAATGTTAGAGTAGGTTTGTTAGAGTAGATGAGACAAATTAAAAAACTGATGTAACTTTGTTTTAATTTTAAGCTCTTTGGTTGAATACAACTTCTGATGTTGAATTATATTGTTACTGGATTAGTTTTTGATGTTATTTTGAATTAGTCATTTGTGAATCATTTGCAGGAGAAAATGAAAAAAAAAATTTAAAATTTAAAAAAATAAAAAAATATTATACTAGAGTGCTTCCTTAGCCCTAGCATTCGGGAGCACTTTATCAAAAAGTTCTCCTAATATGCTTCATCTACACCCTTGTACAAGAACACTTCTTGTATAAGTGCTCCTGTAGGATATTTAATGGAAGCACTTCTCATATATAACTGATTTATTTCTAAAAGAAATTTCAAATTTTGAAGGCTTATGAGAGTACTTTTGTTATAAGTGCTCTTATATATATGAGAGAGCTTTGAAAGTGCTCCCGTAGGCAAAAAAATAAGTGTTCCCACTTCCCATAGAGTTATTTTGCAGCAGTGTGACAAAGCCTACTCCTTGTGCTCACCATATATATATATATATACATATACATATACATATACACACACACTGTGTGTGTGTACACACTACCAACCTTCCACCTCCAATAATTTTTTATATAAATTTCATAATTTAAACTATTTTAGATACTACCAATATTTCACCAAAAAAAAATGATTGTGCTCACAATCATCTTTTAGAACAATTTTATAGTTTAAACTATTTTGGAAAAGTTAATTATGCAATCATTGTAGTTTCAAGAGTTTGTAACTCAATTTTTGTAGTCTAACTTACTTCAACTTAGTCCTTATATATTTTTTTTGTTATCTCCTACAATAGAAACAGTGAATCAGCAGCATAAATTGTCATCACTAAATGGATTAGCGACGGCATCAATCTTTGGTAAAACACCATCATTACCACATCAAATTGGGATAGAGGCAACATCTGAAGATAGATGAAGAGCAGTCAATGTATGATAAAGAACAGAATCTAATTCCCCCCCCCCCCCTTGGGTTTGGGGACGAAAGAAGGAATAGAGGATATCGTTCCTTTCCTTACATCCACAATTATGAAGCATTTAGAAATCACAAGACTTGGTGTCCCAGTGTGAACAATGTATTATTGATATTTCATGAACAAAACATACATGTTTATCATCTCAAACTCAAGTCTCTTCTTAAAAAAAAAAAAGACAAAAATCAACAGGCTCTTAATTAACATGATTATTCTGCATGGGTGACTTCGGAGAATTGACATATGATGAATTACAAGGGATTTAGTTATTTTCAGAAAACTAGAAATAGATGGAGATAATGGATAAAATAAAAGTATAATGACTGAGTTATGGTAGCTATAAACTCGGTAAAACTACTCCAAGAATCAAAGAATTATTTTTTCCCAAATTATTTTATCAGAATTTGTATAGGATTAATTACTCTATTTTGAAAATATTATTTTTTTCTATCAATTTCTGTTGAGGAGATAGAGAGTATGTAACATTTTTTATTCAAATTTGTTATATTTATTAGGGATAAAAGATGGAAATCAAAGTATTTTAAGACAATTTTAATTATAGACTTAACATTTTTCAACCTCCGAAAAAGTGACAGGTTGGTTGGAAATTTAATGGCAGGCTCATTTATTTTAAGCATAACCTTATTCATTTTACATTGGAAACATAATTTTATGTTTGCTTTCTGATCTTTTTGGTTAATTTATCATTTGTATATTGATAAAATAATTGTGTAAAATAGATTACTTGCTTAGAGTTGCAATTTTTGAGGTTAATTTAATTATATAATTTAAAAAATATGAAAATACTTTAAATTTAATTTATAAAAATTTGTAATTTAATTTAAAAACATTAAAAATTACATAAAAGGATTAAAAATTTACAATAAAGGATCCAAAAATTAATGATTCAAAAATTATAGAAAATAAAAAAATTTATTGACCTTTATTCTATAATTTTCAAGATTATTTTTTATTATTGTTTGGTCAACTAACAGTTACAGTAATTTTTTGTTAACTGTAAAAGAGTCAAATTGTGTTGTTTTCCAAACTTAAAAGAGAAATATTACATAAAAATGAGTTTATGTTCTTCAACGTTCTTGGACTAATAATTTAGGAGTCAATTGGCTGTTTCACCTTTTTTTTTAATTTTTTTAAAAAATAAAAAAAACGGGTTTGCGGGTTGAACATTATTTGAAAATGGTCCCAAAGAAAGTTAGTTGCGCGTGGGAACTGACGCGGTAATTTCCCTATCATGGCATCATTTCCTTCTATTTCCTGACACTATATTTCTCCCATTACAGTGACAGGTCATTTATCAAAACCTCATATATGGTGTAGTGAAAATATAAATTTAACTGTTGTGGAATATAGTATTGTGCACAATAGTAACTTAAATTAAGATTCCACTTCTTATTTCTCTTTCTCATCGTTGAAGAATTTATTCTTGTGCAGTTGTGGTTTAAAATTCTCTCACATATATGCTAGATAAGTAGATATTCACCTTTCAACTTCAAATAGTACAACTTCCGCTGTATTACCCAATAAAGTTCTATTTCTATGGCTTGAGAAAATAACTTACGATCGTTATCGTACAACTTATACTAAATTTAAATTGCATATGATTGAGTTCATACTTGTAATCCTAGCAACTTAATTAAATTTAAAGTTTCATGATTGCCAAAAAATAAGGCAAAAGACAGGCACAAAAGATTACTGCACTTGTTTAATGCAGTTAAACGTATCACGACAATATATATATATATATATGGGCAAGATTTATGTACTTAGCTTTATATACTTAATATACTTATATTCAATCAATTCATGACATGTAGATCATAATTGAATTTATTATAGGATAAAAAATACTCATATCTTGATTTAATTGAATACAACTAATATAAGGCTAAGCATATTAGTTTTTCCCAACATACATACATGCATACATTACGTTCCATTGTTGCCCCTGTTATGGAACTTTTAATTTCAGGAGATTATATAAGTTTTCAAATTAGAAATGAGGCATCCATTATTAAAGTAAAATAGAGAGGATCAGTTACTGTATTTTAAGTATCTAAAAAACGGATATACCAATTTAAAAAAAAATCCCCCTATTTTTAGGTTTTGTCATCTTTTCTCCATTTCAATCTTGCTATGGTTAATTAAGTTGTTGGTTTGACCTTCGTGTTAGTTTTGGATCATGACACATTATAATGAAAACAATTAGAAAAAAAATAAACTAATATAATATTCTTGATAAATATTATTAGGCTTTTAAATCATATTCTATGTTTCTTAATTGAATACAATTCTTCTATATTTTTTCTAGTAAAATTTTCTACATTCATTCTTCGAGATATATATATATATATGCAACAAAAAAAATAATTAGTTGCACAAAAAAGTTATTTTTGATTTGTTACTGTAATTTTACAAATGGCATAAATTATACTTACAAACTAAAAAGAAATAAATTTTATCAAAGGGTGAGAAAAATATTATTGTTATTATTATTAATCATTTATTGCAAATAATAAAAAGCATCCATGCCTGGAAAACCTTGTTCAATTTTTCAGAAGACATTTATCCTCTCATGTCTTTATTGAATGTTTGTTTGGTCTGATCACGTGCAAATCTACTACGACCAAACTTTTCATCCTAAATCTACCAGCTCCAAATCTGAAGGTTGGGTAATCATACTCCATGGACATGATAATTGATGGCACAAACGAAACTTTAATATGTTTGGATATATATGAATTTTGATTTGGATTTGGCCAAAATTCTCTATTTGGGCACTTAAAAATTTATGGATATCCAAATCCAAATTTTATCTTAATTTCTGTATAATTTAAAATTCTTTCTAAATTCTTATTATTTTAAATTTCTGTATGCACTCTCGAAACAATACCTAATAGTAATAAAAATTATTATTTAAACAACATGAACAAAGAATTTTACATGTATGGATTTAAAATGTGAGATTTGAAATCCAGATCTATCAATCCAAACATTACCTAAAATTGAATATAATAAATATGTTAAAATATTTATATTATGTTAATTATATATATAATTTTTCTTCAATTATTATATATACTTGGTATTATCAACCTCCTTAATTACAAATTTTGGCTCTGCCCATGAATTAACGTGTAGCAGTGGTGAAAAGCTACTCTTCTAAGTCCCAACAACTACTAATACATATTTTTTCTAGTTTCTATATAGGGCAACTTCTAATTTTTTTTAATTCTTAATATAAGGCATTTGATGGGGTATTAATTATATTTTTTAATATTACTTCTATTTAAACCCATTAACTAAGACGGATAATGTAATGTAAATTTGAAAAAAATTTCATTTAAATAGCAGTAAAATGGAAAGTTTATTTTATTTTTAAACAAAATTAATAACTTAACTATCTCTCTTTAATTCTGATAAGGTAATTAGAAATTCTTTATAATAGAAACCAGTGGGGGCAACAAAGACCTATTGTTAATTGTGGAGCTTTAAAAGAAGACCCTAGTTTCTCTTCACTATCTCCACTTCTCATGGATGTGGGGTATAATTTCTATAAATAGAAACCCTAATCCTCTCGTTTCCACACCACCACATCTCAGAAATCAAAAACCCTTTAATTTCCCTCTCAGAGCAACAATGAAGACCACCATGTTTTCCCTCTTCGTTCTCTTTGCATTCACCTCTTCAGCCCCAGCCCAGATTGTCCAAGACTCAGACGGAGACGACGTACGCAATGGTGGTCAATACTACCTCCTACCAAATTCTTATGGATATGGTGGAGGCATCAATACCTTCCCAAGTTACAGCCAAATTTGCGATTACACCCTTGGGCAATCCTCGTCGAGTTCCGACGAAGGATATGCAGTGACAGTTGCAACTCCATATAACATTGGAGTTATCCCATCTTCTTTAAATGTGAGCTTCTATTTCGATGGTACAATACCAGGTTGTTCTACGTCACCAACAAACTGGAAAATCTACTCTTCAGGAAATGGTACGGATGATACATATACGGTGACTACCTCTGAGAACTCCAACACCGTGAGTGGTTCGTTTAAGATTGTGAATTCTGGCATCAGTACTCTGATGTATAAGCTTCATTTCTGTGCGGATAAAGCTAATTCTTGTCTGCATGTTGGGATTTCCGAGGACGATACTGGGAACAGGCTTTGGACTCTCACTCATGGTAAACCTTTTCTTTTTGTGTTCAGGAAGGTTGGAGCTGCGGCTGCATGAAGAGAACCTATATATTAATTATCTAAGTCGTGTAATGGACTGCGTGTAAGAAAGCTTGTGTGTCTAGTGCAGGAAGCTTAGATAATTCCATGCACTTAAAGACTAAACAAACTTATGCTTTCTCTCTTTCTATCTATCTATCAGGCACATGCAATAATTTTAAGGATATGAATTCGACGAGTATCCCAAATCCTCTCATTCGTTGACTGTCCGCACTGTAACCGTATGATCTCATCAGTACCTGAAAATTTGTACTTCATCATAAATAAATCAAATTGAGTTAAAGGGAAGTTATATGAGGGTGCATTTCAACTGTTTCTCCGCAGTCATGTAGACAAGATTAAGGTATACGACAAAAAAGTAGAAATATGATTTAGTGTTCTCTTTATATCTCGTGCCTACATCACCAACAGCCGTTCGATTAAATCAACGATTTCTATGATACCATGGGGGATACTTAACGGATGAGAGGATTAAGGACACTCATTAAGTCCGAATCCCAATTATAAAGAATAATTTGACTAAAAATACTCTACTTTCATTACTCGTATGTAGTGTAAAATTGTGAAGTTAAAAAAAATGAAAATTATCAAATTAAAATCAGAAGTGATAGTTTATGACATGTTTCATTAGTGAATGGTTTGAATACTAGACATTTCCCGTAAGAGGTTAATTATAGTTCGTCATTGCACACACACACACACACACACACACACACACACACACAGAGTTTAACCTCTTGGGGGGCAAAAAAGAAAAATTGTTTGCGTGATCTAATAACAAGTTGAGTAATATATGCTGCCAAAAACTTAGCGCAATCTGTAACATTTGTTTTCCTTGGCCTCAATGTGTCATCATTCATATGCATGAATTTATACAAATTATTTTTTTGCACCTTTTTATCATATATGCGTCTTGAGTACTTATTAAGACAAAACCTAATTCCCTAAAACTTTGATCCCACCGTACGTTGGCGAAGTTAAATTGTTCTTAGTTTCATTCTCAGTTTCACAACATCCACACCCGTTATAATAGCCATCTTATATTAAAATATACGCATATAATGATTTCTTATTCATTTATGAATTTAGAAGACGTAAATTCTATATCGTTATGCACATACATACATACATATATTATATATATATATATATCCATCTGATGCTTAATCGATCAATCTTTTACTATTGCTTACATACTAAAACCGTATGAAGTTATTATATGGATGCATCTTTTCATTTGTCGAGAAGAAAAATCCTTAAATTGTATATGCATTGAATCCATTTCGTATTATGAATTAGTTTCCTTCCAAGAATTAACATCTCTTGAGTCTTGATTAGTTAGCATGATTTGCTTGTGACATTTCATATTATTTAAAACTTCTTTCAAGGTAATTAGATAGTTTTCAAAGTATCAACATCAACATATCAATGGCAAGATATATTTACAAGTCCTCCCTCTAGCGTTTTAAAAAACGGATTGAACCAAATGGTTTTGACTGGCTGGACATTCGGCCTGATGGCATAACAGCTCTTCTGTTCTGCGCCCCCCCCCCCCGCCCCCACACACACACACAAAAAAAAAAAAAAAAAACCATTCAGAGAGGTGGAAAACTGAGAACCATTGTTAGACCAAGTTGAGCTAGTGGACTGGACTAGTCTAATGTTTTTTTTTTTTTTAAATAATGAATCCAAATCGCAAAATTAAACGACAACGTTGGGCGAGTTGAACCTGAATCTAAAATTATAAATCTTCAATCAATATATATTTTTAATAATTCACATGGTAGGTGTTAATTCTTTTCTGCACAATTTTTGACAATGTCATATTTGTATTGTTATATATGCATATAATATTCTTTTTATTTAATTAATGTCACCAGAAAACTGGTTTAACTAGTTAGACCACAAAAAGTGTGAACCGCTGGCCTTTTTGATTTATGATCTGGTCTAGCTTTTAAAACATAGTCTCTTTTCCAGAGTGTAGGTGCTAGGTGGATAGCTAGACAAGCCCAATTTGTTGCAAGAGTTGGGGGTATAGTCGACTTGTCGTGGAAAATGCAGAGGACAGAAGCACATGGCTTTGCCTCTCCCAAGTTTTGATTTATCTCTTTCATTCATTTTCCGTAGACGTTTTCGTTTTTACATTAAAATCCAAATGCGATTGAAAGGTCATTATTTAAAAATGATTAGACAAATGATAGAGATGCTGCTGCTGATATTTATCCTCTTTTGGATTTTTGAATATTTGGTCTTCCCACGTGCAACTACACCTCTACTCCAACCAAACGTTTCTTGAGATGTGCACAAACATGCATGCACAGTATAACATCCCAAATTCTTGGATATAACTCAAGAATATGCCTAAATTTAGTAAGCTATCAAGCCCAAATAATCAAGATTCGGAGTCCTAGAGACACCCTGGAATGCCAAGGTGGTTCTTATGACTGAATGTAATTTTAAAGCTTTTCTAGGACAAAAGTGTAATATTTTCAAAGCCTACTTAAAGGAAGTGTCTAAGTTAAAGTTCAAAAGAGCTCATGATAGGCTAAAAAGAGCAAACAAAGCGATAACATAAGTATCTAAGATCACTCTTGGAAAATAATCCGTAAAATTAATAAACTAGATTAAATAGAAAACAAGTTAGTCAACAACTTTATTCTTACGCCTAAAGTCAACTCGAGAAGGATCGTAGTAGATCCTAAAAAGGCTCAATGAGATTATAGTTAGATCTTATGGTTGCACACTTGGTAGAAAGTTATTAAGCCACAAAATATATGATAGTTCTGTAAGAAAATGATTGCCTAGTATGAGTTTAGAATACATAGACCTCTTAAGTTTGGCTAACTATTATATGAAAGGTATTATTGACTTTTTCTTAGACAGCTTAACTGTAATTAGGCAAAGAAAGGAAATGGAAGAAAAATGAGTAAGAGTAATTGGTTATCTAGGACCAAATGTAAAGTATTAATACTTAAGGGTAATTATGTATGAAAAAAGATATTGAGATTATGAAAAAGTACCTAGAGTTAGAAATGTGCAAGAGGGCACTATTCCAGAAATGCAAAGCTTAATCTAGGTTAAAATGTAATTTATGAAACTTTTGGGTTTTTAAGTGTAATTATAAAAATTTTTCCCAAACTTAATGAAAATTACATGAAATTGAGGACAATTTGCAACCCCCCCCCCAATTTTTCAACTTCAAATTGATGAATTTGCTTGTTTTTCAAATTTTAAAAGGAAATACAAATGTTAATGTTTAAAGTTGAAATGTAACAAAGTTATTATTTTATTAGCTCTAGAAATTTATAAGTTTAGATCCTAATTTTGCAACATCAAATAGATGAATTTGATACTTGTTTTTTTCAAATCTTAAGAGAAAAGACAATTGTTAATGTTCAAAGTTGAAAAGTGATTGTCATATTTTAACAACTTTTGAGATTTGCAAGTTTGACTTTCAATTTTGTAACTTTAAATTGATAAATTTATAACATATTTTTCAAATTTCAATGATATATTTAACTCAAGGGTATTTTAGTTAATTCATTTTTAAGTTAGATTTCTCAGGGAAAAAAACACATGGGACTTTATTGTTATTTTGAAATTGGTTGGGATTATTAATGATGTTTTGGACTTAATAACTTGAATTAATTGCTTATCAACAACTATAAAATATTCCAATACTTAATTCATTCATGGACGTCGTGCATTAATGAGATGCTCCTTCCAGCTGTCCTTCTAATCAACAAAGGTGGGATGTACTAAAATTGTGCTTTTATTAATTAGAGGTTGTGACATCCGAGAGATTGTGATCGGTTTAATTATTTATTTTATTCACGTGATATTAAACTATGTGCATATCTGAATAAATTGCCTCCCTCTGGTACTTTTTATAAAATGATTTATGAAAATAAAAATTGTTTCAATTATAAAGTGCTCCCTCCATCTTAAATTATAAGATAATTTTAAATAAAATCTCACATATATATCAATAAAGCTCATTAAATATATTTTACAATCTTACCTTTTCAAAACAAAAATATAAACTTTAAAAAATGCTATTCATTTAATACTCCATTAATGAAAAATATTGAAGAGAGAGAATATATGAGAAGAGTAAGTATTAAAAAAACTATCATTAATAAAACCTTATTTAATGGGATGAGTTCTACCTACAAATATATGAACAATGTTTCTATTTTAACCTTTAGTTTTAATAGCATTCTTGAAACTTGGAAAAGCAAGATAGTCTTAAGAAAACAAGAAAACCTCCCTATCATGTTTTTGGCTTCATTTTTTATAATAATATTTATATCTCTTTAATTAATAAGGAAATAATTGAAAATTTGAAATAATTTTTTAAAAAATAAAGAAACATACTCCATCCATTAAAAAATGTAAGGCCTTTTTAATTAGTTTATTATTTTCAAACTAAAGCCATCATTACATATTTAATAGGATGTTTAACTTAAAAATAAATATTAAATAATTTATTTATTAAGGTCATTTATAAAAAATATAAATTATTTCTTGAAATATTAAAAATATCTTATATATTTTAACATTTAATATTTCAAAAAAAATATCTTACATTTTTAATGGGCGAATAATAACTTTTCTTAATCTGCATAAAAATATCTCAAATGTCTTATAAACAATAAGGTTGGTCTCGGTGATATGAAGGTTTTATTGGTAAATAGGAACTAAACCTACAAAAGAAATTTTGAGCTGTAAAGTGTCTCCTGATATAGCCCAAGAAATTTATAAATCCAATACATTTTGTAATTTTCTTAAAAGTGCTTTAAAAATACATGTAAGAATTTTCATTCCATGGTCTCTGTTCGTCATTTTCTAAGTTTTAAAAATCACTTTTAGGCACGTCCTTAATTGAATATTGTGCATTCTTAAGATAGTGCCACCTGTTGTCTTTTTCATTATTAATTAGTGAAGGTGGATCTTTTGAAGTCGTGTACTATTGATACGTTGTCCTCCGCCAACCGAGATCCCCGCGAATTGAGATCGGTTCAATTGTTTATTTATTCAAAAGAAAAATTAGAATGAGGAACTCTCAGAAGTTCACGTGGTTGTGCCTCTTCAATTTTATTGTCTACTGACAAATGGATGAATATGCAATATATATATATATATATCCACACACACACTCCCCTGCTCTATAAATAGAACCCTTCATCATCTCGATACCACTCACCAACACATCCCAAAGTTCAAAGCAATAATAATGAAGCCTTCCTTGTTTTCCCTCTCGGTTCTCTTTGCCTTCATATCATCTTTTGCAACAGCCCAGTTCGTCCTTGACATTGAGGGCAATTACCTTATCAATGGTGGCACATACTATATCCTTCCACATATCTGGGCTTTAGGTGGTGGCCTGAAGCTAGCCAAGACCGGAAACGAAACTTACCCTCTGAGTGTTGTTCAATCGCCCTTTGAAACCGACAATGGCTTGCCTTGGAGAATTACGTCCCCATTAAGAATTAAATTCATCCCAGCCAACACTAGTTTGGACTTCTCTACTTTGGGCAAAGTACCTAGGTTGTGGAAGTGGGCTGTTGTTGAAGAAGAAGACGGGAACAAGCCTGTGAAAATTATTAGGTACGAGAACACTCTGAAGGGTTGGTTCAAGATTCAACAGTATAATAGTTGGGCTTATAAGATTGTGTTTTGTCCCACTAATGGTGATTCTTGTGGAGATCTTGGGATTTCCAGGGACGATGATGGAAAGAGGCTTTTGGTTATCACTGATGATAACCCTTTGTTTGTCGTGTTTGTCAAAGCTGAATCATCTGATAGCCAAATAAGAGCCTCTATTATTTGAAGTGTAATAGACTATGAATAAGCAATGTGCAGGAAGCTTAAATAATTCCTCGCAGTTTGTGGTGATTAAATCAAATTACGCTTCAAGCTGCTCTCTCTTTCTTTCTCTCCACCCCTTTTCTTAATTTTAGACTTTTAGTTTATATTTTAGTATTTTACATGATATCTAACTTTTGGGAATGGAGAATATCAAACAAAGGACCTCAAAAACCAAGATTTCTATCAACATGAAAGGATTAAAATCAACGAATTCAAAACTATCATGAATGAAAGGACTGAGTTCTAGCTAAGTTTTTATAGTTAATTACCAAACTGTCCTTGATTTATTTTTTCATTTCAATAGTGTTTACAATGAGTATTTTAGTAATTGACTAAAATAATTTATTTGCAATTTAGTTGCTTTGAACGACCTTTCATTATAAATTGCAGAATTTATTAATCCACCAAGTGAATGTTGCATAGATGGTAGCAGTCTAGGTCTGTGCATGGAAAAATATTACATGGGAGAGGACCACACCTTAAATAGCAGTCAGATTTTTCAGACTTAGTCTCACAATTATCGACTGTGGGGATACTTTGGACAAAAAAAAAAGGAATTTATTAATCCTTTCATGTAAATACCTAACATCTGATTTTTCTTAAATGATATTTCTCTCTTTGTCAAATTAGAAAACATAAACGGAGTGAAGAAGAAAATAACGAAATGAAAAAAGTGGGTTTGCATCAACAAGTGTACAGAGAATATGGGTCTTCGTTCGTATAATTGTAAGAAATGTATTGAAAATTGAATAATATATTAAATAACTTGTTTATTTGTTAGATGAGATTTGATGACACGTTTCTCCTTTAACATGTTATCGTTAGGGGTGGTTTCCAACATCGGGCATAACAAAATAAATAATGAACCTCTCATATAGTTTTAATTTGCATGCGACAAATTCTAGACATTTTTGTGTGTGGAAAACTGTGTATTATTATTTCTTCAACGTTCACGTGACATTTTTAATATCGTAGTTGTTTGCATTATGCGTACGGTTTCACCATATAGTTTTAAATTAACTATCAATAAGTAATGTCCAGAAAACTTAGATAATTCCTTGCACTTGGCCACAACATAATAAAATTATGGCACTTTTGGACTCCCCTTTCTCAGTGCTTATTAATTGGTTACATGATTCAATTACAAAAGATGAATGCAATGAAATTAAAAAAAAATAATTTTCATAACAAAGTGAGATCACACTTACCATCATCCTTCCTTCTAAGCCGCTCCCAAAGGCATTGTGAAATGTCCTTCACAACTGAATTAAAATAATCTTCCTGCAGTGGTGAGGGGAGATATTTTTTTTTTTTTTTTGGGACATATTCAAGGGGAACATCACAACCAAGGACCCCTGAAGAAACATATTCAAAATTGAAGACTATTAAATTCTGATTTAACACTGCAGGCCTAGGTCCTAACTATAATTAATTGTGAATGTGAAAATATGCAATTGCCCCTAACCAAGTGTATTCATGTGGTGAATAAGTCACCATTCAAAAAATAGCAATACTCCATTCCATTTTAAAGAGAAATAATTTCAATAGTGACAGGTGCAAAATAAAGTCATTTTCATTAGTAGAACTAACTGTATTCATATGGTGAACAAGTCACCATTCAAAATAACATGAAAAATGTAGCATTTATGGTGATAGTCCTCCACAAAGCTATTGCCTTAAATGAAACCATAAGAAAAATTAAATAAAATTTAAAAAATTAATTAAGTTAAATTAAATTATTAATTATATTCTTCATTATTTTCAATTAATTGGGAAATATTTCAGACATATTAATTGTGTCTTAAATAATACATATTAAATGAATTTTATTAATAAAATATACTGATAATTTAAAATAAATTATTAATCAATAAATTTCATTTTAATAGATTTTAAAAATTTTAAATTTATTATTTATTTTTGGTTTAGTTAAATCTTTTGCTAAGATATTTATGGTGACAGGCGCCACTGGCCTGTCAACATAAATAGCTTATTAAATAAAAACATTAATTTACTAATAAATTTTAAAAATGTTAAATAATTATGTCAAAATTCAAACATATTAAATATGTCTAAACTTAGACACAATTAAAATATGAAGAATAACTTAAAATATATCTTAATAAAAAAATTTGAAATTTTTGCAATTTTTTTTAAAAATTCTAAATAATTTATTTTAATAATTTTAATTTGTTTGAATTCAGACAACATATGGAGGTTCGATTTATATATTAATACAGATTTTGTAAGTCAAGGGTGTATATAGTTATAGGTGATTTTATGAAAAAATGTAATATTTACGACCACAGTTATAACAATAATTGTGATAAAAGATACATCCATGGCAATAGTTGTAGCCACAACTATCACTGTAAATGCATCTCTGAATGCATCTTTTGCTATAGGTGAGCTTAGACTTATGGCTAAAGATACTATTTTTCATCATAGGTGAGTTAGGGCCTGTGGCAAAAGATATCCACTGGTCGACATATTTTTCACCACAAGTAAACCAGCACCTGTGGCAAAAGATAGAATTTTTTGTCACAGGTGTGCTGGGACTTGTGGTGAAAGATAATATTTTTTGCCATTGTATTAGGACCTATAGCAAAAAATAGCATTTTTCGTCACAATTCTATTTGACCTGTGGCAAAAAATGTCTATTTACTACCACAAGATCTCTACCACACAGTATCTTCTGTCATCAAAAATGTGTTTTAACTGTGGCAAAAAATAATTTTTGAATGTAAAAACAAATAAGTTTAGCAAAATGTAAAAACAAATAAGATCTAACATATCATAAATCTTATAATATAGAATAATTATTACACTCTAGAATTTAAATTGCAATACACATATAGCTTCAAAATATTATAAAAATGATTTGTACATTAACATCAACTATCAACTATCAACTACTCATAATAAATTTTCTCATGGAATTAAACTAATTTCTCATTCTTCCTATTCAATGTGATACAAATATATGATTTTTTCTCAAGTATCACATGCTACCAATTTAATTGCAATACACTGTACTATCATGATAAATTTTCTTTAAAAAAAACAAAATAGGAATGCCAAAGTTCTTTGACACACATTATTAAGGACAATGACACAGAATGTCAAAGCTTCCATAATCTCCCATAACAGTAGCTAGAAAGCAAAGACTAGAAAGGTCACATCACACCTAAGAAGCAAAGTATAAGAGTTTTACTCGACCGAGGCAGGTAAGAGTTATTTATCAAGTTTTCAAATGTATCATGATAAATGTTTACGATTCATACAAAAAAAAAATAATTTTTATATTTTTAAATTTGAAAATAAATTGACACAATATATTAATATCATAATATGACTAATAATTACTTTTTGGGCTATTTTATTTCATACCACTCTTGATATGTTATTTAATATTCATAATCCTTTTTGACTCCATAACAACTTTGACATTTATTTTCAATAACTTAATACCCATTTGTTAGAATGGCTTCTAACTATATTGTAACCATTGCTTATGATTTTAATAACCTTGGAAAAATATCATTATTTAAATATACATGGCGAAACATTGTTGCCTTTTAATTCTCAATTTGGGCATTGACCATATGTGATGTCATTATAACAAAATAAATATGCTAATAATTAGTCTTTAGGACTATATTTTTCAGTGTCATGATTATTTATAAGTTATTGGTCTTCAAGACTATAGAGCTTTTTCTTTTTTTGGTGCCATCAAATGTTTGAATCATTGGTCTTCAGGGCTATAATATTTACAGCAACAATTTTTTCTTAATATTTGTTAGATCCACAAGGTGATATTTTATAAAAGACCATTATCAAAAGTGATGTGGTTTCTTCTAATCACAAGAGTATTATGCATGGGTACCAGCCATTCAATAAAATAAATTTAAAATATCAATATATATATCAAATTGATTATCACAAACATATATAAGAATAAAACTTGAATTTTTAAATGATAAAATATAATAATGACACAAAATTAGAACAAAATAAGGTAAATTCATTGTATCTCAATATGAATATCAATTATAGCCATGCTTAAGTAAAAATCATACCTTCTTTGAAATTGCAAGACCATCATTTCTTCTAAATAAATTTGCAAATTTTACCACTTCATTTAGACAAATCATCTCTAGGCCTAGAACAAAAATCAACAAGCAACAATAAGAAACTCTTTGAATTTATACCATGAACTAATTTGGTAGAGTGTCTTGCTGATAATGTGTTATGAAAATAAGAAGAATATAAGAGATTGGGATGAAAGAAATGAAGAACACAAGAGAGAATTGAACAAAAATAACAAGTAATATTCATTCACTTGGGTAACCCAAATTTATGATACGTAGCCTCTATTTATGAGCTCCCAACCCTATATAAGAGTTACAATTTCATAAATAAAAGAATTATTCTACATTATGGTACAACATATAACCATTGGAGGTTATATCAATAAATATTAGGAAACCACAAATTTAAGAGATATAGGGCAAATGGCATTAACCATGAGATGGAATCTTGAGAGGCTTTAGAGTTATGAACATCCACAAATTATAATATTCATAACACTACCGATATTAGTGATGTAGGGTCCACCTATTATATTTTACACAAAATCACAAAGTACTAATGATTTTTGGACTTAATAATTTGAATTAATTGAACAACTATGAAATATTCTAACACTTAATTCAATCATGGACGTTGTGCATTAACGAGATGCTCCTTGCAGCTGTCCTTCTAATCAACAAAGGTGGGATTTAAAATTGTGATTTATTAATTAGAGGTTGTGACATCCGAGAAATCGTGATCGGTTTAATTATTTATTTTATTCACGTGATATTAAACTCCGTGCTTATCTAAAATAAACTGGCCCTCTGTTCCCTTTTATAAAATGATTTACGAAAATAAAAGTTGTTCCAATTATAAAGTATCTTACAAATACATGAAAAATGTTTCCATTTTAACCTTTAGTTTTAATAGTATTCTTGAAACTTCAGAAAGCGAGATAATCTTAAAAGAATAAGAAAACATCCCCATCATGTTTTTGGCTACATTTTTGTAATGATATTTATATCTCTTTAATTAATAAGGGCACAATTGAAAATTTGGAATATTTTTAACATATGAAGAAATATACTTCCTTCACTAAAAATACAAGACATTTTTAATTGAATCTAACCTTTCAATAAATTAGTTAATTATCTTCAAACTAACATTATCTTTCTAAATTTAATAAGGTGTTTTACTTAAAAATAAATTTTAAATAATTTAATTATTAAGGTCAATTGTGAAAAAATACATTGATTATATCTTAAAACACTAAAGATACTTTACATTTTTAAACATTCAACCCTTTAAATTTTTTTTTACAAAGGGAAGTAATAACTTTTCTTAATCTACATGAAAAGTGTCTTTTGATATAGGACAAGAGATTTAGAAGTCCAACACGTTTTGTAATCTTCTTAACAAATATTTTAAAATTACGTGTAAGAATTTTCATTCCATGGTCTCTGTTCATCAATTTCTAAATTTTAAAAGATCACTTTCCGGCACGTCCTTAATCGAATATTGTGTATTCTTGAGATGCGCCACCTGTTGCCTTTTTAATTATTAATTAGTGAAGGTTGATACATTGAAGTTGTGTATTATTGATATGTTGTGCCCCGCGAATCGAGATCCCCGCGAAATGAGATCGGCTCAGTTATTTATTAATCACGTGAAACGGTACTTATTCAAAAGGAAAACAAGAAAGAACTCTCAAAAGTTATCCTCAACACCGATGAAACTCTACTGATGGTTCCCAATATTTTATAGATTTGAAACTTTAATTCATTTCGGAGCCATCTAGCTGGCATTTTTTTAGCACAAATTGGAATATAATCAGTTGAAAATTTCATGTGGAAGATAGAGAGGAAATTAGTCTGATTTTTGGATAAGACATATATTGCTTCGATCGTGTTATCAGGCATATGGGGTGGCCCCACAAAAGGGCCAAAGTGGTTATAAATTTGAAAAAATTGGGAATTAAGATCAAATGTGTGAAAACTTTGGAAGAAATGACGAATATTTGAAGATCATTGCAAATTTGAAGCTCAATATTTAAAGTACTTCTATACTCTTTAAACTAGAAAGCCTACGTATTTCTTGTCATCCTCCGGTCCAAGTCATTTAAAGCGTATCCGATCTGATCCCTATTGCAAGGCGCTTTTTAGAAGAATTCTTTGGTCATAGATATGAAGTACTCGATATGACATTAATTTTTTTTTAATTTTACCCTTATTTAAACTCATCAATTATGGAAAAAAATGTACTGTAAATTTAAAAATATTTCATTTAAATAGAGATAAAATTGTAAGTTTATTTTATTTTCAAACAAAATTGCATCTTTGTAGTTCCAATGAGTAGGTAGAGGTGCTTTATAGCAGAAACCAGATAGAGTATCTCTTAACTTTGCCGATTGATTAAACAAACTCAAGATTAAATTAAAATTAATTTTTTTTTATTATCGTATATTCTCTCTTGCTTTCATCTATTGGAACCAGAGGTACAAGTCTAGAGTTCACGTGGTTGTGCCTCTTCAATTTTTTTGTCTACTTTCTCCATAAATAGAACCCTTCATCTTCTCGGTTCCCCTCGCCAACACATCCCAAAGCTCAGAGCAATGATAATGAAGCCTTCCTTGTGTTCTCTCTTGGTTCTTTTTGCCTTCATATCATCTTCTGCCACAGCCCAGTTCGTCCATGACATTGAGGGCAATGACCTTATCAACGGCGGCACATACTATATCCTTCCACGTATCTGGGCTTTAGGTGGTGGCCTGAAGCTAGCCAAGACCGGAAACGAAACTTGCCCTCTCAATGTTGTTCAATCACCCTCTGAAATCGATAATGGCTTGCCTTGGAGAATTGCGTCCCCATTAAGAATTAGATTCATCCCAACCAACACTAGTTTGGACTTCTTCTCTGTTGAGGGAAAAGTACCAAGCTGCGTTCCTATGCCGTCGAAGTGGATTGTTGTTGAAGAAGATGGGACTAAGTCTGTGAAAGTCAGTGCGTACGAGAACATTCCAAACGGTCGGTTCAAGATTCAACCGTATAATAGTTGGGCTTATAAGATCGTGTTCTGTCCCATTTATGGTGTTCTTGTGGAGATCTTGGGATTTCCAAGGACGTTGATGGAAAGAGGCGTTTGGTTATCACTAATAAAAACCCTTTGTTTGTTGTGTTTGTCAAAGCTGGATCATCTGATAGCCAAATAAGAGCCTCTATTATGTGAAGTGTAATCAACTATGAATAAGTAATGTGCAGGAAGCTTAGATCATTCCTCACACTTAGTGACGATTAAATAAAATTACGCTTCAAGCAACTCTCTCTTTCTCTCTCCCTATATAAGCTTCTTAATTTTAGACTTAGTTTATAATGCAGAAAAACATGAAGTGTTATTTTAGTAATTTACGTTATATTTTACAATGAGTATTTTAGTAATTGATTAAAATAATTTAATTGCAATTTAGCCACTTTGGCATGGCCATGGATGCCACTAGGCCATTAAGAACGTGGCTTAAGGCTTCAAAAAATGTTCACTTATTCCTTATATAATCATTATTTTTACGTTCAGCATTACTGTAACCTATTATTATTTTTCCATTAAGCATGCATCAATGTTAATTATATCTTCTCACTAAATTTATTGCCTCACAATTTTTTTATAAAATATTATTATTATATAAAATAATAATTTTATGAAACATCAAATTTCAACCATTGAAAAATGAATCCAATGGTTGAGATGGCAACTAAAGAGAAAATAGAGAGGGGAGAAAGTGGAGAGAAGCCAAGTATGAGAATATGGGTTTTGGTTCATTGAGAAATGTATTAAATATTGAATAATTGAATAATATATTAATTTTTTCATAAAATAATATATTAAATAACTTGTTTATTTGTTGGATAACATGGGATGACACGTTTCTCCTTTAATATGTTATCCTATAGGGGTGGTTTCAAGCATTGGGTATAACAAAATAAAATAATGAACCTCTCTCGTAGTTTTAATTTGCATGCGACAAATTCTAGACATTTTTTTATTTTTCAGATTCGTCCAGTACTTGTCCTTTGCATTAGGAAGGATATAATTTATTAAAAACTGAGTATTATATTTTTTTTGTGTGTGTGGAAAAACTGTGTATTATTATCCCTTGAACATTCACGTGACATTTTTAATATCGTAGTTGTTTGCATTATGCGTACGGTTTCACCATATAGTTTTAAATTAACTATCAATAAGTAATGTCCAGGAAACTTAGATAATTATATACCTTGCGCTTGGTCACAACTTAATAAAATTATGCTTCAAGTGCCACTCTCGGACTCCCCTTTCTCAGTGCTTATTAATTGGTTGCATGATTCAATCACAAAAGATGAATGCAATGAAATTTAAAAAAAAAAATTCATAAAAAGGCGAGTTTCTTTTTCGTCCGATGTAAACTGATCATACTTACCACCATCCTTCATTCTAAGTCTCTCCCAATGGCAATGTAAAATGTCCTTCAAAACTGAATTAAAAAAATTCTTCCTGCAGTGGCGAGGGGAGAGATTTTTTAGGATATTAGGATTATTCATTAGGAATATTTAAGTAAGAGTATTTATCCATCAGAATCAAGATTTATTATTTATTTTATTATTATTTTATATATCAACATCTTTAAGATTTGAGTTGGATCTAGGATTAGAATTCAAACTATTATTATTATTTTATTATTTTTATACCCCTATAAATAAAGTTAAATTTTTATTTGTATTCAGCTTTTGATTAATATTGCATAGAAATTCTGAAATTTCAGCCTTCTTCTTCTTTCTTCCTCTTCCCCTCCTCTTTTCTTCTCTCTCTTTCCCCTTTTCCCTCTCCTCCTAATGAGATATGTGTGTGTTTGTGTGTGTGTGTTTGTGTGTGTGTGTCCACTAACAAATTTGCCCAAAGACATTTTTTCATTGTAAGTACTAAGAATTTTTTTTTTAAGTACTAAGTAATCAATGCTCTATAAATATGTCTTTCCCATAAAAATTATTTACACAATATACCAAGGGATGGGAAACCAGATTGGACTGGTACATCCAAGTGAATGGTATATATTGAAAAATATAGCTATTAGTTAGACTAGGAAAAATTTAAACCGGTTAACCCGGCATTGAATCAACCCAACCGGGTGAAATTGATGGTTGACTGGATCTACCGGTTGAAATCAAAAGGTAAAGGAAGATCTCTGTAAAAAACTAGGAAACAATCATGAAGGAAAGAAGACAAGACTGGGAAACAAAAAATAGGACTTTTAATTTGCTCTTCCATTCCTAATTCCAAACATGACGAGTTGATGTTGGAAAGCGGAGAGTGCCTTTAGAAGGACTAGATATAAAAACGTGAAGCGAAGAACCTTTGATTCACTCGGTACCAAGACATTCTGGTAATGTTCACAATGTTCACATTACGGGTTCGTTTAGCGTTTGCCAGATCATTGAGACAGAGATGAGAACATGAATAATAGAGTCCGTAGTTTGAATAAACTAAGCATAAATAAACCCAAACTTATAAAAAAACATCATATGCTTGGCCCTAAAACTCTCGAGCTTCGGTCTTATTTGGTCTGAATACTATAATAGTCAATTTTTCTCAATTTTAAAAACAAATTTAATTTTTTACTTTAAAATTGATTATTTTTATAATTATAAAAAAAATAAAACATATATTTTAGAATACTTTAAAAACGTAAAACCTCAATTTTTTTAAAAAAATACCAGTCTTAAATTTTAAAAATAAATATTGAAAATATTTTAAATATTATTTTAAGATATTTTAGACTAAAAATAACAAAATATAAAAATATTAATATTTTTATTTTTTAAAAAAATATATATAATAATGTGCTCAAATATATAGTCTCTCGATCTAAAATAAGCTAAAACTTCAAGGATTAATACATTTTTAATATATTTTATGTATTTTTTTAAATCATGCTATAACTTCTCTTGTGAAATCTCAGAATACTTTGAGCCCTTCATGCTATAGTTTCTCTTATGGGGGCCCTCGTTGATATTCTCCTTATTAACTTTTATAATTATCAATCATGTATCAATCTTATTTTAGGAGTAGTTGTGAAGTGTAATAAGGGACTGAGGTTTTGAAATGTCAGAATGACAATTAAGTTCCAAAAAAGAAATTAATGACAATTAGTTCATTGACAAATTTTTTTTAAAAATAAATTACAAATATTAATTCAAAGAATTATAAATTTTGAAGTACTAATTCGAAATAAATATTTAAATTACTAATATAATTCTTAAATTATAATTTAAATTTTTATTTAGAGTTGTCAAAATTAATATTTGTAACTTATTTTTTAAATTTTTTTGTCAGAATCTAATTAGTGTTAATTCTTTCTTTAAGACTTGTCCGCTGCTCAAGATGAAACTTTGATTATCCAAACCTGAAAGCCCAGACAAGCCCAATATATTAATTTAAAAGAGGCCCTTTCGCTGGCCTAAATAAGGCCATAATAAAATATTAAAAATAACCCACAAGTGCTGAAACAATATGATCCGCTTCGAAAACAGAAATCAGTGTAGAGCTGAAAATATATAGATATTTATGTACAGCGCCAACCTTTTCTTCTAAGTTCACCAGCTAACATATATAACATATGTACATATGAAAAAAACATAATTTTAAGTCTTTATATTTTTATTTTTTATTATTTTAGATTCTTTTAAAGTCTTTATACTTTGTTCATGAAATGACTTAAAATAATAAAAAATAAAAATATAAAAATTAAAAATATCAAAAAAAAGTATAAAAATTAATAGTAAAACGTGAACAAAATATAAAGATTTAAAGTTATGTTTTTTATACACACACAGAGAGATTATTCGAAACCTAAGATTAAGAGTATCGTATGTAACTTCTTCCCCTATCTATATATTCTCGTCAATCTAAACACTTGACTCCACAATTATTTTTTTGAAAAAAAAAAGCTCGAAACAAATTATAGACACACTATATGTTTATATCTTTTACTATTATATTTAAAAAGAAATAAAGATTCTGTTGAGATACATTAAAAGGAGAGATATTGCCATCACTTTCTTTATCAAGGTTTTCGTTCTATTAGATTCTTTTTCATTTATTAAGATTGTCTTATAGGGTTTTTTTCTAATAAAATTTTAATGAGACATATTTGTTCATGGACAATTAAAAGAGTAGTGTTATGCGTATGTCCATAACTTATCCCAATCCCAAACTCTTAAATTTTGCTATGACATACTCCATAACCTCTCCAATAAATGGTTTTTAGCAATGTATTTTATGTTTAATACCCAAAAATTCAATGGTTACATATCATACAATCAAAGATTAAATAGAGCATATTTATGTTGATTCATCTTGTAATTTATTCCAATAATGAAACTCCTAGATAGAGTTGGAGGCCCATAAATAGAAGTTATTTACCATGTATTTTACATACCAAAGTGAATGGAAATCACCTCTTGCTTACCCTCCAATTCTCTTTTGTATTCTTCATCTCCATTTATTCTAATGTTGTTTGCCTTATTATTTTCTCTTATATATCGTTATTTTCATAACAATAAATAAATATATGTATGCAAAATAGAGCTAAAGAACCAATAAGGTTAGGCATAGTAAAACTGGTTAGTCTTCACAATGTAATAAATTAAGATTCAAATCACTATTAAAAAAAATTCTCACACTTAATACTGAAGAGTGTCTTGAATATGATCCCTTTTAATAAAATAAAAAAACCATGGTGAAGGGGGGGGGGGAAGCAGTGCTAAAGAAAAGTACAGGACCAAAAACAGAGAAGATAAGGGTAGATGAGGTGGAGTGGGCCACAATCTGGACCAAACAGTAATTAAACGTGTCCTTACAGTGAACTAGAGAAATAATTGAGGAGAAATGACAGTGCACTTGAAAATCATTTGCAAGTTTTGAGATCTATGATTGTTTAAAGAGTGGCGTGGAACACTTTGTATTGATGATTTTCGAAGCATAATTGCATATGTGCAATGCACCTTTAACAACCTTCAATTAATGCTTGCTACTTCCTTTCAAATTTTTCACATTTTTATTCCTTGTCCCCAGTTTTCCCTACAAATTATTATGATGATAATTATTGCTAGTCCTATTGGTACATTAAAATTTTATTAACGAGTAATTTATAAGCAAAATTGCATCCAAGAATCACAGAAGCACCTTATTATATAAGGAATCAAATGATTCTGAATTTAATCTACAATAACAAGGAATTCAAATTGAATTAAATTTAGTTGCAAAAATACTAAACTGTCCTTCATTTTTTTTTTTTAAGAAAACGTCTCATACCACAGTCGCTGGCGATAACTCACATATATAAGTAAATATTAATAAATTGACAAGTAAATGTCAATGAAATGACAAAGTCTCATTAAGCCTTTAACAAGTACGTTTCATATCACATGAAGACATATTTTGCATGTTAAACCTTGGCAAGTTTCTCTTGGTAAATTGACAATTAAACATTAATAAAATTATAACTGTACTCAAGTTAAATGACTTGGAAACTAAAGTGACAAGAAAACGTTAATAAATTCACAAGTGATTTTCACTAAATTAACAAGTTTCATTACGCTTTTGAAAATTAGAAATTTCTACTTATTAAATATTAGTTGGCTAACAAGTTTTCATTAATAGTTTAACAAGAAATCATTAAGAGATGTGCAATGCACTTAAAAATCATTGCAAATTCACCAAGAGACTATCACTTAAAAATCTTTGCTGATTTCAAAATCTGTAATCGCATTTTAAGAGAACTTGAAGTATTTGCATTGATAATTTTTTAAGCTTAATTACATATGTGCAATGCACCTTTAAGAACCTTCAATGATTGATACTTCCTTTCAAAATTTTCAGCCATATGTTTTTTATCCCCAATTTCTCTTACAAATTACTCTTATAAATGCTTCGTAATATTATTACATTAAAATCTTATTGAAAAGTAATTTATAAATACAAATTCCTTTTTTTTATTATTGCATACATATATTATCATGATAAAGATTGGTCAATCACTGACCCTTAGTTTGGATGGGGAAAAAATAAGAAGAGAAAATTATAGAAGAAAACTTCCAAAAAGAATAAAAAAAACTATTTTAGAAAACTTTCCCTCATATATATTTTCTTTTTTTTCCTTATTTTCTTCTCACTTTTTCCTCCATTCAAACCACACCTAAATGTGGGCACCATGCCCCTCCAAACAAAAATTTAAACCTTAATTCATCACATTATGAGGAATTAGCCCTTTTTACTAAACTATACCCAATCACTTTAATTCAAAATACATACTTCCATGTATAAATACTCTTTAAACTATAAAACCTATACCTATATTTTTATTAATTAAAATATGTCTCATTCTATCGGAAGCCATTATATTCAAGGCACAATTGGACAATAAATGTGGCCATCTATCCTAATAAAAATTTGAGCATTGATTTGCCATGTTATAAAGGAATAGCTCCTTCCTCTATACCAACATATTTTTAGTCAGCCTTCTGTACCTCCGCCTCACCTAAAAGGCTAAAGCATTTCCCCTCGTCTTGCTTCCATAATTTGGATTCTAAACTACAAGTCTAGAGTTCACATGCCTGTGCCTATTCCAAAATGTGATATATCTTCAATTGGTTTTTCGGGTCAACTTGCAGAGATGAATATCGAAGCTACCCTTCCTTTTTGTAGTAGAAAGATCTATAAATAGAACCCTCCATCCTCTCATTGCCACACGACAACACATCCCAAGAAAAAAAAAGCTCAACATTCAATATAATGAAGCCTTCCTTGTTTTCCCTCTTTGTTCTCTTTGCCTTCTTCACTTCTTCAACCACAGCCAAGTTTCTCCTTGATAGTCAAGGCTAGCCCATTAAGAATGGCGCCGCATACAACATCCTTCCACATATCTGACCATTAGGTGGCTTAGATCTCGCCAATACTGGAAATGAAACTTGCTCTCTTAGTGTTGCGCAACTACCTCATACCATTGATATCGACTACGGCTTGCCTTGCGCAGTGACGTCTCCATTAAAAATTAGATACATCATATCAAGCATTAATGTGGACTTCTTTGTTGAGGGGAAAGTACCATCATGTGTTCCTGTGCCATCCAAGTGGACTATTGTTGAAGGAGAAGATGGGATACAATCCATGAAAATTAGCGAGTATGAGAAAACTCTGCAGGGTTGGTTCAAGATTCAACAATATCCTAATTTTACACGCAAGATTATGTTTTGTCCCATTAATGGTGATTCTTGGAGAGATCTTAAGATTTCCCGAAGCCATGATGGAATCATGCGTTTGGTTATCACTGATGATAACCCTCTTATTGCTATATTTATCAGAGATCAGTCATCTGATGTACGGAAGGCCTCTATTATCCAAAGTGCAATTGACTATGAATAAGTCAGTAACCTTTACTTGCCCATAGATTCCATTCTTCTAGGCTTTGGAGTTGGTATAGATTTTTTCCTCATCTTGCGTAAGCCATTTTTTGCCACTGATGGAACTTTGATTAATGTCCCTAAGGGAGAATTAATTTTTCAAGTAGGCAAGAAAAAAGATTTTTTTTTCCAAATTTGCTAAGGCTACTAAAGCCCTTGTCTTTGAGGATAATATTTGCAACTCACAAGAATAAGTACCCCTCTCACCCTTGGATCGTGCCCCTTGATACAAGCAATAAGACTATCTAACCCAATTTTCTTTTCTCAATTTTTTAACTATTTTCATTTTTTACTCTTTTGAATTGTTTTTTATTTTCTACATTTTGTTTTAGCAATCCTATTTAATTAGGCTATACAGATGAAGAGAAGTCATTTGAAGGACCACGATCACTCTACCTCGCACTTAATCCAGAGAAGTATTTGTCTACTACCTTCCTCTCTTATTTTGATTTCATTTTAAATTTCATAGTGAGGACATTGACATCTTAAGTTTGAGGGAGGGTCTATTATGATAGCTTCCTATTGCTTATATTGTTATTTTCTTTGCAATGTACATGCTGTAATTGGCCTTATTCATGAAAATTTTGAAAATTTCTTCCAAGATTTTTTATGTGCACTATTTTATTTAGCTGTATAACTGTTGAGGGCAATTATGTACTTGAGAAAGAATTTAAGGCAGTCAAGACCCCACAGAAGTTTATCAAAAATAAACTTAATGCATGAATTATCTGTCCTATTTATTCATATCTAGGCCTAGAAAGCTAACACCTTGCAAAGTAGTTAACAAGCAAAATGATCATGTAAAAAGAAAAAAGAAATGAAAAAATGAGAAAAATGTAATAAATGCCGAGTATCTACTTCACTTATGCCAACTAAGCCTAATAACCAGGGACTCACTAATGTCAGCCTTTGCATCAAACAACTTAGTAAGTGTCAAGAATGCGCTAAAAAAGTTCCCCAAGTTTGACTAACCAGGCCCTTATATCACTAATATAAGGATTCATGTCAAAAGGACCTAAGAATTATCTAAACAAATTATTATATATTTATCATTATTCTTATTTATTATATATATCAAGGTTATTACAATATTTTTCCCCCTATCACTTAATTATAAGATAAAAAAAATTTGATACAACATCTACTTAGGTTCTTATTTTTTTACTTTGCGAGAGAAAAATAACAAGTTAAATAAAAGAAAGAAAAAGATAATACGTAATTATCTAAGGAAAAGGAAAGAAGTAGTAAATCTCATGCATGTGTAGAAAAAGACAAAATATTCTAGGAGATGCGAAGCTACTAGGCATGATGATTTTTTTTTTTTAAAAAAAAAAGGAAAAACACTCCCCTGGAATTATGAATGTCTGCGTGCTCAAAAAATCCATGACTGCACACGAACGAGTGTGTAATAAGGGGGAGTCCTTCACCTTCCCTCCTTTTGCGCGTGAATGGGAATGTATTATGCAAGATTACACGCGGACGAGAGAAAAATAAACAGAAAAATATAATTTAAATATTTTAAATTAGATATCATCATATCTAAAGAGATAAGCCATAATTTGGACGGATTCTAAGCCCAAGGAGGTCAAATTTATTATAAATAAACCTCCTAAAAACCTCTCAATACATCTAATTTAAGAACTGAAAGCTAAGAGGCATATTATAAAATATAGATGAGCCTTTCAAGTTGGGAGCTATCTCTCTTCTCTTCTTCTTTATATTCTATTTATGTCTTTTATCTGCGATTGCACTTTTAACTTTATGAGTTCTTTTTAAATTCTCAGTTAGAGTAGGGAGTAGCTTGGTTAGGATAGATTTTATTTTTTATTTGGTTTTAATTTTTTTCCTGTTGAAAAAAAATTTTCTGTAAAATTTATGTTTGCTTTTATATTTATCTCTCTCATTTTAATTACTTTTTATATATGTGGCTAGTATATAGATTGTCAGTTGGTGGTTTGATAAACTGAAAGGTGAAAAACTTACCTATACCTAAAAAGATGAACATAGATAACTAAATTAGAAGTAATTTAGGAGTTTGTGGCGGCTTAAATCGTAGTTTTATGGTTTAGTTAGAGAGTGAAATTTAGTGAGAGCTAGATTTAACTCTAATTAAATGCATTTTAATATATTGAATGGTAAATATAACACCTTAGAAATGGTTTTCACTGTAAAATAAGGGAAAATAATTAACTAAATTAGAATAATTCACCCAAGTAGGTGAATCTTGATCTCGAGTGCTTATCTAATTGGTTGGTTCATCACTTTTATCAATTTTCTTATGGGAAAATGATAGTGTTCCAAAGGAATTAATTAATTCAAATTACGTCACAAGCATCAATCTCTAGAAATTTGCAAGTTTGACTCAATTTTACAACTTTGTTGTAATGAATTGCAACTTATGTTTCAAATTTTAACAGGAAAAACATATTCATTTATTCTCCAACCATGTTAAAATTTAAGAGATAAGTTATAAATTCATCACAATAAAGTTGTCAAATTGAGAGTGAACTTACAAATACAGTTTAACACTTACGACCTAATTTGGATTAATTGGTCTTCTTAAGACCTATTTGTCATTCTCCCTTTTCTTATTTTATTTATTTAATTATTAAATATTTTCCTAACCAAATCCTTATTTAGTTTATCAAATAACAAAGACTACTATCTTCTTCTAGGTCCAGCTCAAAATACTCCGAATTTATTATTATGTCGATTTCATGCACTTGTGAAGCCGATCAAATATATGAATTTATCTGAAATTAATAAATAAATTCACTTTCCTTTTCTTTTCTTTTTTCTCGCTCTTCTTTATGCTTGCAACAAATTATATCTGGTTAACAATGAACATTGATCGTTTGGCAAATCGTAGCTTCACAAGATCCCCAAGGCATGCATGGATTACTCATTATTCTATTAGCATTAAATCATAAATAAAACATTTAAATTATAAATATAACCTTCACTTTATAATTGAACTTTCTTTTATAACTATTTGAATCAATGTTTATAATTTATTTTTTCTAAAAAACTATCAGAATCTAACTATCATTAATTCTATCTTTTCAAGACTTGTGCTGCTCAAGAAGGTGTTTTGATTGTCTAAAGCTGAAAAATTAAACAAGCCCAATATGTTGTGTTAAGAAGATGCCCTTTGCTGGCCTCAATAAGGCCAACGTAAACTAGCAAACAAAATATTGAAAATAGACCACAAGTCCTGCGACAATATGATTCACGTTGAAAACAGAAATCTCCGGAGAAATGAATCTGACCAACTGATTTCAGTTTGATTTTTGCATAGCAGAGCTAAAGAAAAGAACGGGACCACAAACAAAGAAGATAAGAGTAGAGGAGGTGGAGTAAAAGATAAGGACCACAATCTGGACGAAACATTAATTAAAGGTGTCCAAACATTAGTTCTCATGAATGCTTGGTGCTTAAATTCCTGTCAATCTTTTCATCCATTTGATTTTTATCCCCAGTTTTTCCTACAAATTACGCCCATGAATTCTAGTCCTATTATTAAATTAAAATCTTATTGAAAAGTAATTTATAAATATGAATCTTTTTTGTTATTTCATATGTATTATCCTAATTAAAATACAATTAAGTATTAAATATGAACACCTCTCATAATAGAAATTTAAATATTTATTTATTATATTGTGAGGAACTAGCTCTTTTTACTAAACTCAATTCTAAAGTCTTAAATGGGCAAGCTCGGCCCATATGGATGCAAACCCAAAAGCCTGATTACCATAAAATTGGTCATTGCTTCAAGCCCAGCCATTATTGATCTGTAATAGTGTTTTAAGAGGCCTTGAAGTATTTGCATTGATAATTTTTAAGCTCAATTACATATGTGCAAGGCACCTTAAGAACCTTCAATGGTTGGTAAATTCCTTTCAAAATTTTACCCATTTGTTTTTTATCCCAAATTTTTGGTACAAATTACTCTTATAATGAATGCCAGTATTACTAAATTGAAATCTTATTGGAAAGTAATTCATAAATACATGCTTCATTTTTTATTATTATTGCATACATGTATTATCATGATCAAGGTTGGTCGAGCACTAACCTTTAGTTTGGATGGGGAGAAAAAATAAGGGGTAGAGAAAACTATGGGGTGATACTTCCAAGAATAATTAAAAAAAATTATTTTAGAAAATTTTTCTTATAGTTTTCTTTCTTTCCCTATTTTTTTCTCATTTTTATCTCCATCCAAACAAAGCCTAAATGTGGGCACCCTTCCCAAAAAAGATTAGAATCTTAATTCGCCTCATTGTAAAAAACTAATCCCTTTCACTAGACTCATTCCTATCGGTCCTAAATACATACTTCTATGCATAAATACTCTTTAAACTATAAAGGCCACACATATGTAAATTTTTATTCCTTACACATATTGTTATATTGTAAAGGATTAGTCCCTTCTATTATCCCAAACTTATTTCTAGTCTACCTTTCATAGGTCTGCCTCACCTGAAATGTATCTCCTCATCTTGCTTCCATAATTTGGATTCCAAGCCACAAGTCTAGAGTTCACGTTCCTGTGCCTATTCCAAAACGAAATATATCTTCAATTTTTTTTTTTCAACTTGCATCGATGAATATCGAAACTACCCCTCTTTTGGTAGTAGTAAGATCTATAAATAGATCCCTCCATCCTCTTATTTCCACACAACAGCAAATCTCAAGAAATAAAAGCCCAACATTCAATATAATGAAGCCTTCCTTCTTTTCCCTCTTTGTTCTCTTTGCCTTCTTCACTTCTTTAACCACAGCCAAGTTTCTCGTTGACAGTCAAGGCGAACCCATTGAGAATGGCGCCTCATACTACATCACCGGACTTATCAGGCCAGGACCTGGTGGCATGGATCTCGCTAAGACTGGAAATGAAACTTGCCCTTTTAGTGTTGTGCAACTGCCAACTAGCATTTTTCCCGACTACGGCTTGCCTTGGACAGTTACGTCCCCATTAAAAATTAGATACATCACACCAAGCACTAATGTGGACTTCTTCTCTGTTGAGGGAAAAGTACCATCATGTGTTCCTGTGCCATCCAAGTGGACTATTGTTGAAGGAGAAGATGGGGTAAAGTCCGTGAAAATTAGTGGTGGGTACGAGAAAACTCTGCAGGGTTGGTTTAGGATTCAACCATATACTCTTATCGCGTATAAGATTGTGTTCTGTCCCATTAACGGTGATTCTTGTAGAGATCTTGGGATTGCTATAGACCATGATGGAAACTGGCTTTTGGTTATCATTGATGGTTATCCACTTCTTGCTGTGTTCACAAAAGCTGAATCATCTGATGCACGTAGAGCCTCTATCATGTGAAGTGTAATCGACTACGAATAAGTAATGCGCAAGGTTAAGCTTAGCAAATTCCTTGCACTTTGTGATAATTTAATAAAATTACACTTCAAGTCTCTCTCTCTCTCAAAGCTTCTTACTTCTATGTTATGTTTGAATGCATGTAGATTTGAATTTAGATTTAAATTTGAATTCGAGTGAAATCCATTGTTTGGATAATTAAAAATATGTGAATTTGAATTTGACCCAAATCTAAATTCAAATCCTACCTCAATTATTTTGTAATCTAAAATTCTTTCTAAATTCTTATTATTTCAAATTTCCTACCATCCTGTGTTCTTGTGCCATCCAAGTTGACTATTATTGAAGGAGAAGATGGGATAAAGTCCGTGAAAATTAGTGGGTATGAGAAAACTCTGCAGGGTTGGTTTAAGATTCAACAATATCCTAATTTTACATGCAAGATTGTATTTTGTCCCATTAATGGTGATTCTTGTAGAGATCTTGGGATTTCCAAAGGCCAAGATGGAATCTCGCGTTTGGTTATCACTGAGATAACCCTCTTATTGGTATATTTATCAGAGCTCAATCATCTAATGCACACAGAGAGCCTCAGTTATCTGAAGTGTAATTGACTATGAATAAGTAATGTGCAGGATTAAACTTCGTTAATTTCTTGCACTTTGTCATAACTATAAACAAAGTCATGCTTCAAGAGGCTCCTTGCAATTCCCCATCTCTCTTAGCTTCTTAAACCTATGTTAATGTTTGGGCATTTTAGTTTGGGACGGGTAATGAAACTTTTATTTTCTCAAATTTGTCTCAATTATTAATTTATTCTTTCAAGTTTAATTTTTACCTATTTGGTCTTTTAAATCTATCCCAGTTATCAATTTGATCCTTATTGCAAAGCAAACAATATCATTCAAGGACCCTCTAAGAAATGTATGTGCATAAAAAGTACAAATGGATTCTCAAATATCATGAAAAGATAAAGGGACTAAATTACACTTTATTTATTTTCATTTATTTTTTCGTTTTTGTAATATTTGCAAAGATTCTATATATGATAGTTGATCAGCATGATTGTTATGTTGATATATAAACTTTATAAATTATCAGTTAACGGTGTGTGATTAACCGTCGACATCACACTCTGTATAATATTTATCTTCTTCTTGTTGTTATTATTGTTGTTGTTTTGTAAACTGTGGTGGAGAGGCATCATTCTTATTTTAGGAGTAGGTGTGATGAAGGATTGAGGTTTTAAAATGTAAGGATGATAGTTAAAGTCCCAATAAAGGAATTAATAACAGTGAGCTTTCCAATAAATTTTTTTAAAAAATAAACTATGAATATCAATTTAAATAACCATAAATTTAGAAGTTATAATTACAAATGAGACATTTAATTTGTAAATATAACTCCGTTCACAACTGAAAGTATTTGCAACTATGTGAATTAATATTTATAATTTATTTTTTAAAATTTTTTTACCATAATCTAATTATTGTCATTAATTCTTTCTTTTAGGATTTTCTCCCTGCTCAAGATGGAATTTTGAATGTCCTGAAAGCCAAAACAAAGCCTTTTGTTGTGTTAAGCAGCTTTTGCTGGCCTCAATAATGCCAACATAAACCAGAAAACAAAATATACAAAATGCCCAAGAAGTTCTGACCAGCGAATTTTGTTTGATTTGTGCATATGGCAGAGCTAAAGGAAAGAACGGGACAGCAAACAAAGAAGATAAGGGGTAGAGGAGGCGGAGAAGAAGATAAGGACGACAACCTGGACCCAACATTAATTAAACGTGTCCAAATATTTGTTATGATATGAATGCTTGGTACTTCCTCTCAAATTTTTCCTCCATTTGTTCTTCATCCCCAATTTTTCCTACAAATTACTCTAATGAATGCTAGTCCTATTACCACATTAAAATCATATTGAAAAGAAACTTACAAATATCTTTTTCATTATTTCATACAAATATATATTGTCATAATCAAATATAATCAAACATTAAATTAGGCAACTCTCTTAATAAAGATTTAAATCTTTATTTATATTGTTGTGAGAGACTAATCCCTTTTACTAATTATAGAGTTAATAAATGAATAGGCTTGACCCATATGAATGCAAGCCCAAAATTTCAATTACCATAAAATTGGTCATTTCTTTAAACCCAACCCTTATTGAGCAAGTTAAAAGCCATGCTTGTAAATCTTTTTATTTTAAAATTTTTAAATTTTTAAAATTTAATTTTTACATTATAATATAACATATTCAAAATTTAAAAATAAGTTATATAAATTCTAATTTTAAAATATAAACAACATTCTAAAGTTTAAATTTAATTTAAAAATTAAAAATATTTTATTTTTTAAAAATAAAATAAAAAATAGGCCTGAATGGGCACCTAGCCCAAACCCATTGTTATAGGATCTAACAAGGGTGGACTTAGAATTTCAATTATATTAAACTTTCTTAATTTTTCAGGTCCAAACTCATAAAAATAGGTATAAATGAGATGATCGGTCAAACTCAGCTTGTATTCCCCACTTTATTCACTACCAATAATTATAAATTCATACTTCCATGTGCCATGGCTTTGGTATAAAAGATCAAACACCTCCATTTTTCCATAATCACTTATTTGTACCAAAACCAAGATGTGCTTTCAGCTGATAGGAGTAGCTTATCAGAGTCAATTTTAGTCCGCTTCCGTACATCCAACTTTCATCTAAAAATCAAAATACATATCGATCTTCTCAACTTGCTTCCATAATTTGGATCCTATGCCACAAGTCTAGAGTTCACGTCCCTGTGCCTATTCTAAAACGTGATATATCTTTTTTTTAAAAAAAAAAATCAACTTGCACCGATGAATATCGAAACTACCCCTCCTTGGGAAGTAACAAACTCTATTAATAGAATCCTCCATCCTCTCGCTTCCACAAAACGCCACATCCCAAAGAAACAAAAGCTCAGCATTCAATATAATGAAGACTTCCTTGTTTTCCCTCTTCGTTCTCTTTGCCTTCTTATTCACTTCTTCAGCAACAGCTAAATTTGTCCTTGACAGTCGAGGCAATCCCCTTGAGAATGGTGGTTCATACTACATCCTTCCACATATCTGGCCCTTAGGTGATGGCTTAGATCTCGCCAAGACTGGAAATAATGAAACTTGCCCCCTTAGTGTTGTGGTACTGCCATATACCATTAATATCAACTATGGCTTGCCTTGGACAATCTTGTCCCCATCAAGAATCAGATTCGTCCCAACGAACACAAAGTTGGACTTCTTCTCCGTTGAGGGAAAAGTACCAACTTGTGTTCCTATTCCGTCCAAGTGGTCTATTCTTGAGGGAGAAGATGGGATTAAGTCTGTGGAAATCAGTGGGTGCGAGAAAACTGTTGAGGGTAGGTTCAAGATTGAAGCAACAACTAGTTATGCGTATAAGATTGTGTTCTGTCCCATTAATGGTGATTCTTGTAAAGATCTTGGGATGTCTTCTTCTGGACGGCAATTGGTTATCACTGATGATATCCCTCTTTATGTTGTGTTCTTCAAAGCTGAATCATCATCTGATGCACAAAGAGCCTCTATTATGTGAAGTGTTATCGACTATGAATAAGTAATGTGCAGGATTATTCTTAGTTAATTCCTTGCACTTTGTCGATCATAAATATAAATAAAGTCGTGCTTCAAGAAGCTCATTGCATTTCCCTCTCTTAGGCTACGGTTTTTAATGTACATTTCTCTATTTTTTTTAATCTCCCAATTTTCAATTTTGTTTTTTATTTTCTTTCAATCAATGGCCTCTATAAAATAAGAAATATTTTGATATTTAAAACTCTTTAAGTCAAGGCAAAAACAAACAGACACCAACTTAGGAAAAATGGAGTACTAATTTTCAGAGAATTTTCTTACAATAATAGAAGAAGAAATACAGCTTGCCAAAAGTGAATGTAAAAAACGATGTGTTTTTGAAGGAAATGATT